CGGGGCGGGGCGGGAGCGCCCGGGAGGCACCGGCGCGGCACGGGCGGCGCGGGGACGCGGGGAGCGGGCTGGGCCCCGCACCGGGACCGGGCCGGTACCGGGATCAGGGTCCTGGACCGGGATGGGGGTCCCAGTACCGGGATGAGGGTCCTGTACCCAGATGACGGTCCCATACTGGGATGAGGGTTCCTGTATGAGGGTCCCGCACCAGGATGGGGGTCCCATACCCGGATGAGGGTCCCGTACTGGGCTGAGGGTCATGTACTGGGGTGAGGGTCTCTCTACCCAGATGAGGATCCCATACTGGAATGAGGGTCCCATATTGGGATGGGGGTCCCATACTGGGATGAGTGTCCCTGTACCTGGATGAGGGTCCCATAATGGGACGAGGGTCCCATACTAGGATGAGGGTCCCACACTGGGATTGGGGATCCCATACTGGGATGGGGGTCCCGTACTGGGATTGGGGATCCCATACTGGAAAAGGGTCCCATACCAGGATGAGTGTGCTGTGCCAGATTCCCATTTCAGGCCATGGGTGCAGGTTCCAGGACCCCACTCCGGAATGCCAGCGGGGGTCCCAGGGTGCCTCAGCAGGACGCGGATGTCACAGCAGGACGTGGGGCAGGTCCCCAAGGCCCGGGCTGGGCCGTGTGCCCGGCTCAGCACTGGAATGTGGCTGCGGTGCCAGGTCCCACCGCGGCAGGAGGGTCCCCAGACCGTCCCCCATCCCTGGGGCCTCGCCCCCATTCCCTTTTTACACCGGGAAATGGGATTTGGGGATCTGGGGGAGTCACCGGGTCCCCCTGGAGCATGAAGGGGGGGTCTTGGGGACATTCCCAGCCCAGTGTCTGGCCTGGCCGGCCCCACACGGCCCCGGTCCCAAAGCCTCTCCCATCCTTCCCTTATTTGGGCACCGCCGCTGGAATATCCCGAATCCCCGGGGAGGAGAAAAATGCTGGAAAATGGGAACTGGGGCCCAGGGGCACGGCCAGCCCTGCGTGCCTGTCACCCCCGTCACCCCTGGCCCAGGGCCACTGCTGTCACTGCTGTCACTGGCATTACTGGTGTCACTGGTGTTGCTGGTGCCACCGGTGTTACTTTTTACTGATGTCACCCTTACTGGTTTTACTGGTTTTGCTGGTTTTCCTGGCACCACTGCTGTCATTGCTGTCACTGCTGTCACTGCTGTCAGTGACGTCACTGCTTTGCTGGCGTAACCGGTAGTGCTGGTTTTACTGTCACTGGTTTTACTGGTTTTGCTGGTACCACTGCTGTCACTGCTGTCACTGCTGTCACTGCTGTCAGTGACGTCACTGCTTTGCTGGCGTAACCGGTAGTGCTGGTTTTACTGGTGTCACTGGTTTAGCTGTGTTACAGCTGTCACTGGTTTCACTGGTGTGTGTCGCTGCTGTCACTGCTGTCACTGCTGTCGCTGCTGTCGCTGTCACTGCTGTCGCTGTCACAGCTGTTGCTGCTGTCACTGATGCCAGTGCTGTCACTGCTGTCACTGCTGTCGCTGCTGTCGCTGCTGTCGCTGCTGTCACTGCTGTCACTGCTGTCGCTGTCACTGCTGTCGCTGCTGTCACTGCTGTCACTGATGCCAGTGCTGTCACTCCTGTCACTGCTGTCGCTGCTGTCACTGCTGTCGCTGCTGTCGCTGCTGTCGCTGCTGTCACTGCTGTCGCTGTCACTGCTGTCGCTGCTGTCACTGATGCCAGTGCTGTCACTGCTGTCACTGCTGTCGCTGTCACTGCTGTCGCTGCTGTCACTGCTGTCACAGCTGTCACTGATGCCAGTGCTGTCACTCCTGTCACTGCTGTCGCTGCTGTCACTGCTGTCGCTGCTGTCACTGCTGTCACAGCTGTCACTGATGCCAGTGCTGTCACTCCTGTCACTGCTGTCGCTGCTGTCACAGCTGTCGCTGCTGTCACTGCTGTCGCGACTTCGCCACCCCGCCCAACGTGGGCGTGGCCTCCCATAGGGCGCGCCCCGTATCCCCGCCCACTGGGCGTGGTCTCACCCTCGGGCGTGGGCGTGGCCCCGAGGGGGCGTGGCCGTCACGTGGCGGCGCGGCGCCCCCTGGCGGTGCTCCTTTGTCCGCGCGCGGGGCGGGGCGCCGGGGCGCGGGGGGCGTG